GAATGGCCCGGGGTGTGGCTTCTGGAATGACGTATCTGTCTGAAAAGAGCTACATCCACAGGGTAGGTGTTGGTTTTATCGTCAATGAAAGCTTTAGTAACCGTATACCTTGTATTGCCTGTACAAAATTGAGATTCAGCAAAATTTTCTTTCAAATATTGTTATTAGATTAATGTAGAAGGGGATCCGGACTAGGTTCGTTTTCCATTGGTTCTGTTTCCAAAGAATACCAGTTTTCTATTGAGAAATGATTAGATTTGACGACTGGCAAATATATTATGATAATAGCAATTGCAATGGGATGAAATACACTCAATTTTATATGCAGTCATCGGGAAAAAATAATACTTTTTCAAATATGCGCACACTGTTTTTAAAATTTGACAGTTAGCGTATAATAGCCGTCCTTAAGTATTGTCACGTTTACAAACTGTACTCCTAATTTAACTTATGTTTATTATTTCAGGATTTGGCAGCCAGAAATATTTTAGTAAATGATGACATGGTTTGCAAAGTTGCTGATTTTGGAATGAGCAGAGAATTGAGCAAGGATGATACATATGACACAACGGTATAAAAACCCTTCAAAATCAAGCAGGTTTTTATCCCCCTAACCAGTGACAAACAAATATCTTTGAATTATACTAAATTCATGTCAGATCACCTTATCATATTTGCTGTTCTTTTTTTAGATGTCATACTGAAGCAGAATAATCATCTTTAGGTCTATGTAAAGGGTAATCTCGTGCAAGCACTGGGATCTATTACCCATCTTGCTGCCCAGAATCAAAACATTTGCTGAGCGTATATTTGTTAAAGAGAATCTTCCTCCTTCATCGATCATTACTTTGTTTTCGTGGTAGATGCACAGCAGTATTGAAATTCTTCTGAATCTGAAACTGGAACTAAAATTTCTTAACTGTAAGCAATTGTCTGTTGCTTGTCGGGCTACAGCCAAGGAACTACAATCCCGGACAAAAATGATTGAGACTTTGCAAGGAATGCTTATATTTTCACTGTTTTTTCAAAAATAGCTTTGCCCCTCCCCCAATTTAATGTTGAGTGCATGATTGTGAGGCAAAAATGATAGAACTACAAATCCAACATTGCTTCGGGGGAAAAGGGGGATTCGAATTAACAGGGACAAGGTAAAGTGACAATTACGAAAGTTGCTTTTTGTCTCAACATTTTTGTCCGGAATTGTAGGCCTATGGCTATGCATGGCTGTTGTTGTCAGGTTCCAGTAATCATGTGACTAACCTTTGCAACACAATCTACTCTGCTACCATTCATTCCAAACCTTTTTTGTCTAAATACAATTTCGCTATAGATCTAAGCTCAGGGCCCACGCCACAGGGGGAGGCAGGGGGCCATGCCCCCCATTTTTATTTGATAACTATAGATACCAAATCCTCCTAGTGGGTATTAAATAGGTATCAAATCCATCTTTTTAGCTCCCAATTTTAGAATCGGTGGCGCAGGCCCTGAAGCTTGTAAACGAGATCATTCTTGTTTACCCTGGGTGCCAGAGCCTCAGAGAATCAAAGGATGAAGAACGGGGGAAGAAATTGCGAAGGAGAATGGAATCATCCTTTCACTCTCTGAGGCTCTGGCACCTAGGGTAATTGTTGATAATTGTGGCGCAGGCCCTGAAGCTGGTAAACGAAATCATTGTTGATATACTTCAACTTAATTATTTTTTACAGGGTGGTAAGATCCCTGTCAAATGGACAGCACCGGAAGCAGTTCAACTTAAGAAATTCACTATTGCTTCGGATGTTTGGAGTTATGGTATCCTGCTTTGGGAGGTAATGTGTTACGGAGAAAGGCCATATTGGAACTGGGGCAATAATGAGGTATATTCGTTAGGGAAATTTACTTTATACTTCCCCATCGTTAGGAAAATGTTTGTAACGATAAAAATAAAAATTGGGCATTGCGATGACTTTTAAGTCATTATTCTAAACCTGAATAATGGGAGTTAGGGTCCTTTCGTTATTTCCTTACTTGGTCACCAAGATCCTAAGCTTTTAAAATCTTCAAATCCATTTTCTATAATGGTAGGGGGAATATTGTTTTTGTCAACAATTTTCAAAGATTTTGGCAATCATATTATGTTTTTCTTTAAAGATGAATCAAGCAGAAGAGATTTTTAAACTTTTGTGAATACAAATAAGGAAAAGACCAGTAGGAAAGATTTAGCAATTAAACAGACGTAAATCAAACAGTTGGAAAAAGCTTTAATTAAGCAGTATACTTTAAAAAACAACGCCTAAAAACAAAGAATTTTTTTACAATAAAGGAAGGAAGAATATTTAATTTCTTCATGCGACTGTTGGCGCATTCTTTTCTGAACTGAAATCTCGATTAAAGCCTAAATTCTTTTTTTAGGTGCTTGAACGTCTGGCTTCTGGCTTTAGACTCCCTCCGCCAATGGTATGTTTTACGTTTTAAAGTCTCTAGATTTCATAGATCTTTACTACAGCTTTTCATAGCCTTTCTTTGATCAATTACCCAAGATATGACAAATATGCCATGCTCTGTTATTTTCATATCGAGGCTACACTCAGCTTAACATTGTCTGTTCCTTGTTTTTTCCATGGCTTATGTTTGTGAGCTTTATCTGCTTTAAACCCTAGAATCTATATCGGGGTACTACAATGCCGACGTAAAAGCAGTTGATTTTTCCTGATCCATAGACTTCCTTGCAGCAGCATTTTTGATCTAAAGATTTTCCGAATTAGGTTCTTAATTTTGTTTTTTCTTCACTTGTTCTCATCATGTGCAATAAACTTTCATTTTTTATGGGTTTCTGTTTGTGGGATTTAAATACTTATACATACTAATAGAATTTATACTTTTCAAAAATTAAGAAACTAACTAAGAACCTATTTAGCCTTAACTGTCAATAAGTACCTCATAAAACAAGAACCTGTTTTGCCCAACTCTGAAAAAAGTAGGTTTTTACTTTACCATACGGTAGGTTGCTTCACGACGCTCCTTTTTTCTTCCCGCTGTTTGTAAACTTTGAAACGCTTTACTCTCTCCTTGCTTCCCAGACTCCCTCTCTTCTTAGCCCCTCCCTCTTTACATAACCTTACATTGGCCTCAGATCTTACATAACCAAAGAAATTCTGTTTACTGTTTTTGAATTCATCAACGGAACTATTTTTCCGTTTTTTACTTAAGTAAATACTTAAAAAGCAGCTGTTTATGATTGAAAATCTCTTGCAGAGCTGCCCTAAAGTTGTACATGATCTCATGTTATCTTGCTGGCACAAAGATCGCGTGAAAAGACCCAAATTTAAGGACATTCGTGGCACGATTGATAAGTGGATCCAGAGTCCGGAGTTGCTGAAACACGAGGAATCGGTTGTGACAAGGCGATATGTTACAAGGCATCTCCTTTCAATATTTAACAAAGCTATTAAACTTGAATATGAAGTAAATCATTTTGGTTATGCGATAGATACTATATTGGACGCTACAGTAACTTTTGTCTCTGGTGAAGGGGGGAGGGGGGGGCGGATGCTACTAACAAACATACGTGAAAATTGGTCTAGATGTTTTCTATGTGCGCGCATATATTATTATGTGTGATATTCAGGAGAATCAGGGGACTGGATCATATTTGTATCTCTCATATTTGTTGACAAGTACCCCTTACCTATTTCTGAAGAGATTTGACATCCGAAAGCTCTTTGCACTCTTTGCCAAAAACATGTTAATATTGGAGTCCACGATGTGTCAGTTTTTTTGAAAATATGTTTTTAAAAATATGAGCTTGGAATTTATTCGAAACATCTCAAGTGATGTTAGGATCCTTAATTAGGGCATTTTAGCTTGCTTCAAGGAAAGAAGTTTTCTTTCAAAAATTGATAATTTTTTACTTTTTATGCATATCCAGGGCCACAGTTTTTTGAAAAAGGCTAAAAAATGATTTTTTGACTGACAATATAAGCTAAAAATTTATCAAATACACCTCAAATAATTTTGCAAACATAAGAAACGGCAGTTTTGGTTGCTTAAAAAAGTAATTTTTGTTGATTGTGACCAGTTGTTTATTGTGACGTCTTTTAAAGGTTTTTTGTGATAGAAATTTTCAAATTTCATCTTAACGTTTTCTTTCAGATCTGACTTCTAATGTCATGGAGGTATCTTGAAGTGATAACAAAAAGGTATTTTATGGCATTTAATGTTTTTTTACAACGATAAAATTATTCTATATTAGTTGATGATTTCTAATTTTTGCATATCCGGGGTCATTGTTTTTTTTAAAATGAGTAGTATTTTTGTTTCAGAATATCTGCTCGAAATTCATCCAAAACTTGTGAAATTATGTTGAAAACGTAAATTAAGGCATTTTAGGTTGCTTGAACAAAGTTTTTTCCCGAAAATTGACAATGTTTGATTTTTTTTGCATATCCTGGGTCCAACCATTTAATGAAAAAGACTAGGATGTTTATCTTGATGTATGAGCTTGACTTTCATCAAAAACACTAAAACGATGATGTGAAATTAAAATGATGTTTGAAACGACAATCAAGGCATTTTAGGTTGTTTCGTGAAAAAAATTACTTCTTTCAGAAAAATAAATTTTTTTTAGCTCTTTTCTATTAAAGGTCAAAGTTTTCTTGAAAATAACTTGTCTTATCTTAAAAATTTATCTTATAAATAACTTATCTCTGAATATTAGCTTCAAATTCATCCAAAATTCGTCAAATGGTGTTTGAAACCTAAATTAAGGCGTTTTAGGCTGTTTTGAGGAAAAAGGAATTTTCCCAAAAATTTACAATTTTTTATTTTTCAATTTTGAAAGTGATCATCGAAGTTTGT